CCCCAAAGCGACCCCCAACCCACAGCGACCAGTGTCCGAATGGCTGACGCTATGAAAGCGCCCAACGGCGGATCTGCACAAGGAAGCGGAGTTTTGAACCCGCAACCTTATACCACAATGTGCATATCCAGCCGACGTCCTAACCACTCAGACTTAGGGCTGTACAATTGAAGTTTTCATTGGCCAAGTAAGGCACTATGTGCATCCACTCACAAGAACAAGAGGTTCATCATTCATCAAGGTCTTCTATTTTAGAATTTACAAAAATTTTCGTCCTCCTCAGACAAACAACAAAAAATGTAAGTTATTACCGCATGTTTGCACAAAGCAAAGACACTCACAACAATGCCACGCACATATTCTTCTTTTTTGTTTGCATTGAAAATGTAGCTGTATGAGAGAGGGTTTTCCGACCACTACTTCGACAATTGCCTGAGAAATTTCTCTGCCGGAATGAATGATGGTTGGAAGCATTGGGTTCTGTGTTTCTTACCAGCTGGAAATGGTGACGGAATCCTAGACCGGTGTGCATTCATTTGTCTTTCTAAAGGATTCGTATCCTGGCTTCGAACAAGTCACCTCCGAAGTTGAAATTGTTGGAAACACTTGTTTTTTCTTGAAAATTGTTATCATGGCCTCGAACAAAGGACCTTTGATTCTGATTTTGAATAGACGGTAGTAAGGTACTTTTCAACTTGGTCCTGTAGACTATTATAATACTAAGATTCACACTATTCTCTGGACTTTTCTAAAAGATTCCGGAACAACCAGGCCTTGTTGTGTAATCACTGTAGGAACGAAGGATATGAAGTAGGAGTAGGAAACATCAAAGTCATCTTGCGTTAGATAGTTATCACGACCTCTGACGACGCGGGACAGGCGACCGACAAAAAGTTAACACAGTGTCGGGTCTATCGTTTGATGCGTTGTGTTATTCACGTTGTTTTTTGAAACGCAGATACCTGCGCTCGGATCTATTCTACTCTCGTTCATTTCCTGTTTGGTGTACTACTGTATGCTGCATGTGTTCAAGCACTCATGTTTGTACATTCTGACTGATGCTTGCAACATTAACCATCTCTAACACCGAAGGGTTGGGTACCATTCTCCATGGTGGCTGCACCGACTAAGCCTGGATGAAACTTGGCACCCCATCCCGTCCGTGCGTTCAAACTTGAATAAGTTGCTTGTCGGGGATATTGAAGAGATAGTCCTTCGTTTACTAGCACCTCTGGCACTACCCTAGCTAGCCCCTCTACTGGTATGAGGCCCAATGCTATTCGGGATTGTGATGCTCGTGCAGCCACTGAAGCATCCCTCGAATGACCAGGTGGTGTCGGGTTAGCCAGGCACAAATAAAGGGAGGGCACCGAAGGACCCAGAGGTGGTGGGACCTTCTCAAATATCTGACAATCAAGTACCGACAGGTCAATGTCTGAGCATGTCGCCGACCGCTCTACACTCGTCAGCTCGCAATACCTGCAACTATGTGTCTCTCTCTCCCTCTCCTCCAGCCTCGTCAGTCGATCGGTTGGTGGGTGGAGTAGTAGTGCCGATATAATGATGTCATGAGCAATGCATTTAAAAAAAAAAAAAAAAAAAAAAAAACGATCGGATGCTAGGTGTGCTGATAAGAGCAGACACGTCTAGCACCGTTAGGGAGGCTCCATCTATTGGTGGGGAGCAGCACCTGCGGGAAATCGAGTCCAGCGTCCCTTGGATACATCTTTGTGGTACAATGTTTGTTGGGTATATGGCCATTAGAGTTGTTGTTCCTGAGCTTTCTTCTCTCCCCTGGGGCTGTGTATGTTACCCTTCCAATTTGCAAAGCTTCTTCTTCCTACTGGCCTTAAGTGAAGGGGAGGCGGCGGGGGGAGGGGCAGTTGGGGGGGGGGTTGGCAGGAGTAGGGGCAGCGGCTGGGGAGGCTGGGGTGGTGACTGCAGCTGTCTGGGGGGGGATAGGGGAGACAGGGGGGGAGCGGGCTGGTGATCGAGCACCAATACGAAGTTAGTTAGGAGGAAGGGGACTTCGAAGTCACTTAAGAGTTTTCTTTGCCAGGATGGCTTCGATGTCCTCTACGGCTTCCATCGAATGTTGTAGGCGGCATCCAATTCAGAAAACAATTTGGACGGGTCCTGCCAGAGCTGGCAGTAGGATTCCCGGATGGCTTCCTTCCCCATGGACTCCTTCTCTTCCCGATAATCCTTGATAAAAGTTTTTCATGCCTCATGGGTTCTTATTCTGATCGCCTCCTCTATAACTTGTTGTGCGTGCTGTAACCCAAATTGGTGGTTTTTCCGTTGATAAGAGCATCTAGCTCTCCAAGCCAGCATGAGTACTTGCAGCCTCATATAAGAGAAGAGGTTGGTGGCAAGGGAGACCATTTCGCCATGAGGTGGTGGTTTTTGTCAAGCAACAGGACGCCAATGTCCCATGGGATGTGGCAGCCTGTAAGGGCGTGGAATGCCAAGTCCCATCACCTCCACAATTGGGCGACCATTGGGCAGGCCAACAAGCAATGCTCCAGTGTTGCCCGGGTCGGAGGCGAGGATCTGCCACAGTAAGTGCAGATGGGGGACAGCAGCCCCTTCTATTCAAGGTCTGTTCTTGACACTAGCCAGTCCGGTGTGGGCAGACAACGGTGGAGGATTTGCCATTGTAGTGCCTTGAGATTCGTAGGCATGATCTTGGAGTACTTTGGCCATGGCAAGCTCTCCACCAAATGCGAGTCCGCATGTGAGTCCCGTGTCCATCTGTTGGATAGCGTATGGTCGATTGTTGGCTGTGGGCTGGAGGCTTTGTAACCCCCTTTGACCGAGTAGTCCCATATGTGCATTGGTTTTGACCCGGGCCACTCCCATTCCCCCGGGTCGAAAGGTAGCCTGGCCAGCGGTATCGTGGGCTCATACACAAGGAAGCCCTCCTGGTGGTCCCCCACCACACATATACGGATCAGGCCCACCCAACTCTCATTGGCGTCCAGATTTTCCTTTCGAGCTAGTTTGGAAAATCTGGCTCCCGGCAGGTCAGGCTCATAGGCGTCCAATGAGCACACCCCATCTTTGTTTTGTTGGACCCTAATGCACCTATTCTCAAGGTTGCCCCTGACTACAACATGCGAAGGGGCATCAGGGACAGCTGCAGGGCTCCTACCTTGTACCTTTGCCCCCAAATCTTGCACCGTCGGGAAAGGAATGTCCTGCGCGGCCCAAAAAAATGTCAGTGGCTCCACAAACGGGGCCCTTACGACATAACCGACTTTGGTGCGCACACCGAGAGAGCCTTTTCCTGCCTAATCAGAGGCCGCCGACTCCCCTCACCCTTCAGCCTCTTTCCAAAACTGATCCTAAAACACCATGAGCAACTAGGTGTTGAGGTCTGAAGTTGAAAGTCAAATTTTTTATTTGTTTGGTTTTGTACATCTTTTTTAATTTAAGACGGAGCCTACGACCGAACTTTCATCTACAACTCCCACCAGATCTCCCCCACCCAACCTTTAGTGCCTCGTTATGTGTTGTCTCCTCCCTTGCATCCCCCTCCTATGCTCGCCCTTTGCATACGCCCTTTGTAATGTCTCCCTTCTTGCATCCCTCTATGTCCGCCCTTTAGTGCCTTGTTATGAGTTGTCTCCTCCTCCATCAGTGCATCCTTCTTGTGTGCCTGCTCCTCCCACAACAAATTCGGAAGCAGTGGAGAAAAGATCGATTACCGTGAGCAGGATGACTCCAAGTAGTTCAAACAAACCATAGAATAAGTAGTGGATACTAACATTGTGAAGGTCCTTTTTCTCTTCCCTATACTCTTAAAGAATGCAAAGGGCCCATCATGACGCTTCCCGTCGGGCCCAACAAAATTCGGTGTGGAGGCAGACAGGACTGGGGCAAGGAAAATCAGTGGCGGCGTTTCGTGGCGGGACTGCGGGCGGGACTGGAGCAAGGGAAATTGGTGGCGGCGTTTCGCGGTGGGCGGATCCGGGCCTATGTGGGCATCAAGCAAGGGCGGACGGATTTTTTTTTTTGGCCGTCGTGCGGGGCGTGGGGGGCAGACGACGTTATCCATAGGGATCTACGGCGGCTCTGTGCGGAGTGCAGTGCGTGGGGTGTGGCGCAGCGGCGGGGTGGCAGCGGAGTGTGGACTGTGAGAGTGACCGGAGATGGATG